AAATGATGTTAAATGGTGAGAGGGTGGATTAGAAGAAGATGAAGGGGTTAAGGGCTATCCTGCCACAGTCTTACAGAACTTAGATATGGTCCCACTAGGAAGCTCCCTGGAATGGCAGTAAGAAAACCTGCATTTCAGTTACAATTTTGTTACCTTAATGTAAGTGGATCCTTTTACTTGAATTTTCTTATTTCTAAAATAAGGACAATTCTATAAACCATTCAAGGTCATGGGTGAGAATGTAGTACTCTGAATTACTAGAAGAGTTAAAAGGTGGTTTATAAATTCAGGGTATCTTTATTCCATATTAAAATGTAGGTGTTATTAAAGTAGCAAGTCTGCTTGTGCTTATTAGAAAGGATCAAGCCTAACGTCTATTGGACATTCACTATGTGCAGGCCCTGTGCCGAGTGCTTTGTGTATTTTCACTTTAGTCATCTTACACCTTTACGAGGGCAGCATTATCAGCCCCACTGTATAGATGAAGAAGTTGAGGCACAAGGGAGTTAAATAACGTGGCCCAGTCACACAGCTAATGAGGGTAGAGTTAGGATTCAAACCATGGTGGGCTGGCTCTGGAGTTTGCACTCCTAACCACTCTACTATCAATGTGTGCCCTGGCTACAGCCACTGGCAGGGCTGAGAATCGTCAAGTACACACTGGTGTGGCCGCACCTACCGCTTCTGCTCTGACTGCTCGGTGCCTGTGCCCCATGGCTGCTTAAATATTTGGGGCATAAATCTGGCCCGTGATGATTAAAATTGTTGATATTTCCTAATTGTGTTTGAACTGAGCAAGTATTGTATTTGACAGCGTGAACGAACCCCAGGAAATACTTTCAGGTGTCTGTATTTATGATTGGAGGCTCAAACACTGAAATGAACAGAAGTATTGGTCATGTATTTGTTAATTATTCTTCCCAATTTTGAGGCATTAACACTTGTTTGTCTTTGGCCACAACATAAAAGTAGTATGGTTCTTGTTTAAAAGTGACTAGATGTGTGATTAGGTGTGTTACAAAGAAATGTAAACAGGTCGTCAATGTTCTTCTGTGAGTCTGAAACCTGCTTGGTGATTTGGCTGCTATTTGTGGAATCTGGTTCAGTTTACAGTTCTGCCTGTTTTCTTCCCAGCCTGCCAAGCATTTCTGGTCTAATAGAAACTACTCCATTTCTGAGGGTTATGTGAATGGATAGTATCCACTATTGGGGGACTCTGGACTGTAGCCCCGAATTACATTCACATGCCTTAAAATGATTTTGATAATATTCCTGCGTTCAGCTGTTCTGCCTCAACTCACCCTGAACTATTTATATGTATATCAAAGACCAGAGATTCTCCTGCAGCAAATAGAAGTCATAGGAAAAGCTCTGGCTGAAAGCAGGGGAGCTGGACCTCTGTTTTGGCTCTGCCGGTGACTTACTGTGTTACTTTGGGAGCAATACTTAGCCTCTCTGGCCCTCTGTTTTCTTACCTGCAAAGTCCAATAGGACCTGCTCCAGCTGCAGCATTCTTGATTCTGTGCTAAAGCGAGTTCTGGTATAGTTTGGTTGATGATTTGCTTGTCTTACCATTTAAATAATTGCTATTTGTGGTTCTTAGATAGTGCTGGTGACAGAGGCCTGTGTTTTCAGACTTCCTAGAAAGAAGAATAGCAAAACATGAAATTATGTAAAACTTCCTTTGAAGTTTCATATGGTACCGTTTGCTGATAAGACCAAAGAAAAGTGGCATGCTGTCTTTCATCGAGTCTTAGAGACCACTCATTGTAAAACATATCCCATTTTCAGAGATACTAAAATGTAGAATTCATTCCAGCTAACAAATGCGCAAGGAAAACAGGAAAATTGTGTTTTATGGTACCTTGATAACAACATGAGGAAATCACCGTATTAGCCCCACAGATAAGCAATTATTTTTGAATACTTTATTACTTCAAAATCAGTGCCGTACATTTAAATCTCAGGTCTTTGTGGGAAAAGGCTCAATTGGTATGATGCACTGGTACTTCTTAGATTTGATGAGGTGTGGCGGGAAGGTCGCAACTTTCTATCACCTGAGCATAGGTTAACCTGCAGCCTTGTCGGAGCCTAAGCTGCCTGTCCCAGAGAGGGTCTAGGTTTTTACCACAGAGTCTGTTCCAGAGCTGCTTATAGACAAGCCACAGTTGGGAAATAGAATGTAATCGACTACGTGTGCCTACCTAGTAAAGCCACGATGGGACTCGAGTCTCAGCTCAAAGTGATAATTTCAGAGAAGCCTTGCCTTTTCTTCCCATCTCAGAGACAAACTCCTGTATCCTCTCAGGACCTTGTACATACTTCTCTCATAACACAGCACATTTTTTGGGTGGGGAGAGATGAGCCCTGAGCTAACATCTGCTGCCAATCCTCCTCTTTTTGCCGAGGAAGAGGGGCCCTGACCTAACATCGGGACCCATCTTCCTCCGTTTTATGTGTGGGACACCTGCCACAGCGTGGCTTGATAAGTGGTACATAGATGTGCGCCTGGGATCTGAACTGACAAACTCTGGGCCCCCAAAGCAGAGCACATGAACTTAACCACTACACCACTGGGCCGGCCCCACACAGCACATTTTTTTGGGTAATTATTTGCTTCTTTTCTGCTTTCCCTACTAGACTACAAGCTAATCAAAGGTCTCTTAATGCTGTACAGGAGTGGCATCCGGCCTGGAATCCACTAGGCAATCAACCATTGAAGGAATAAGGGTAGGAAGGTAGGAAGGGAAGAAGGATGGAGGACTGCTTTGTGGATTGTGATAGTTTTTAGATCACTCAGGCCACCACTCATCACCGGGAAAGATGATGCAAAATGAATTTTAATTGAAGGTCTAACTTTCAGGTAACAAAATTATTAATAAACCTTGGAGAAAAATCAGTCACATTATTTAGAGGCAGGGCTGATTTGGGTGAAAAAAGATTGTATTAGACTAAGCACCCACTGTTAAACTCTGTAGAGAACCAATGTGACGAAAGAATCTTTTGATAAAGAGTGCTTTGCTCCAACACTAAAATTAGCTGTGTGATTTTGGGCAATTACTGCACCTCTCTGTGCCTCAGTTTCCTAATCTACAAAATGGGAATAATCATAGTACCCGATAGGCTCACTGTCAAAATTAAACCCATAATCTATGTAAAGCACTTAGCACAGAGCCTGGCACACAGTGCAAGAAGGAAATAACTGATAGCTATTGTTGTTATCACCTGTGTATGTGTCATCAGTGTGCAGAGTTGAGGACCAACGCAAGTGTTTTATTGATCTGTAATTTGGGAATTCCTTCCAGGGGTTTTTCAAAAACCAAGATTATAGTTAAAGAGACAGCTTCCTCATTTCATTTCCTTAACCTCCAGCTCTATATAAGTACTCCCTTACTTAAGAACTGTCATTCTTCTCTCAAGGGTCTCCCCATTTGCCAAAGCTACATTCCCCTTCTTTTTCTTTTTCAGTGAATTGCTTGCTCCTCTTGCCAATGGACAACTCAGCATTTGAAATGCACGGAGATGCAACGCAGGGTGTTTTGTCTGTGGGGAAGATGAACACTGTCTCTGGAATGGTAAGCTGGGGTTTACATCTTGGGATTCGTTCCCCCAACACCTTTGTGCAGAGCTGAGGAAGAATTCCTCTTTAGACCAGCTCTCCTCAAGTGACCCTCTTCAGAAAGTTAGCATCTCCTGCTCTGAATATTTCCCCATTTGCCTCCTCTCTTGTAAACTCTTAATTCACACCTCCTTTAGCTCTTTAATGGCCCAACTCTCTGTGAGTTGTTGCTTGTTAATGGTATTAATGAGTTATTTATTGTTCAATATAATGCCCTCATACAATGTTAAACTGAAGATGTTGATAAGTGATTATGCTGTACAAAATATACCATTTAAGAATGTTAAAGTAGTAAGACTGTCTATGCTAGTTATGAGTGGTCAACGATATGCGTCTCAGAGGGAAAGCCAGGAACTCAGAGGGCAGTGGAACAGGAGACCTTGACGTCAGTGCTCACGAATGTCATTTTAGTGGTCAGAGGAATGAGGGTAAATTGATCCGAAGGTTGGGGCATGTATTCTCTTGGAAGCTTTCAATAATGTGGATTGTGACTCACAGAAGTAGTCCTGTTGTTCTGATATTTGTAGCATATATTTGTGATGTGAAACTGGGAAATATTAACAGAAATATGTGGAAATACTGTGCTCAGAGTTAGTAGTTAGATTAGTCGCTCACTTAGGTAATAGAGGGAAGGAGGGGGATTTAATGAAGCTGTTTCCATGAAGGAGGGAGGGAGAGAAAGACTGAGACCTGTCAGGCCGGTTGTTTATTCGTATGTACTTGTTTCCATGCACGGACTTGTACATGTAATGCATATGCACATTCTGGAACTAAAAAGTTCTTAGAAAATACACTTTATAGCCTCTTTAATTTTTAGGTGAAGAAACTGGTAAATAAGGGCTAATTGAATTGAGATGCATTTTATGTATAAACTTAACTGGCTACTTAATTTTGTAGTAATTTATTCTGTGCCCCAGCTCCTCATATTTTAATTTTTATCCTTATTTATTTGGATGTCAGAAAGGTATATGGTGGGGTGCGTGTGTGTTTATTTACACTCATATTTACATATGCATTATTTTACTGAGTGTATTTATCCCACAAGTGCATTTTTTTTTAAATAAAGGAGAAAATAAACCTAATTAAGAAAGAAGGCAATATTTCTTCTTCTTCTTCATCTTTTTTTTTTTTTGGTGAGGAAGATTGTCCCTGAGCTAACATCTGTGCCAATCTTCCTCTATTTTGTATGTGGGATGCCTCCACAGTACGGCTTGATGGGCAGTGTGTAGGTCCATGCCCAGGATTCAAACCCCTGAACTCTGGGGTCACCGAAGTGGAGCGCGTGAACTTAACCACTACGCCACCAGGCCAGCCCCAGGAGGCAATATTTCTAATACATTAAGAGTAGGGAATAATGGCTTCCTAATTTCTCCTAGGAAAAGAAGAGGCAGTGGTCATTGATGAGTGTTTTCCTGGTGTGTCTCTTGGCCTGCACCATTACCACAGCAGTAGGAGTCCTGATTCTCTCCTTGGTCTATATTAACAACTCTCAGCCCCGTTCAGAAGTTCCTTTAGAACCTGAAGCCTGGCCTCTGCAAGCAACAACAATTCCCATTGTGCAAAAGGCTGTTGATCCAAAATTCCAGTTTCTTAATCATCTACCTAAATCCAAGGTATGACAAACATATTAGGAAAAAGAATCATCTATTCTAAATGGCAATTTCAAGACCAAATTTCCATTGCATGTTTACTAAGCTTTGATCTCTCTTCATTGGAAGGACCAGCTGTGGGCCATCTGGATGAAGGGAAGTGAGGGATAGAGAAGAGGGAAAGTTGGGTTGTTGTTGGCCCCAGACAGAAACTTCCTTTAGTAGATAGTTCTATACCTAGCTGGAGGAGAGACTTGAAGGTGGACAAATGGAAAGCCCTCTATTCTCTGGCCAAGACAGGTATATTTTTTATGTCTAACAGGAACTAGACTGATAATACTACAGGTGGCACTGTTGTCATTCTCGGAGTCTTGTAGACCCAGTCTTCCTTTCTTTTTACTGGACTCCAATGTATACCTCACTACTCTTGCCTTCCTCTTAACTCTGTAGGCCATGGTGGCCTCACGTTCCTCAGGAGGTGGCCTCCATTCTCATGGTTGCCTGCTTGTGACTTTTCAGGTGTTTGAGTTCCCTGGTGGTGCAATTCAGTGGGCCCGGTACAGGAGCAATGTCAAAGACTATCTCAGCCTTGAAGAAGAGGCCTTTGGCAGCAGTTTGAACAGTCAGCGATCGCAGATGACTCTGGGGACCCTGAGAATAAAAAGCAATGGCCTCCGGGCCCCTCACTGGCACTTCAACGCTAACGAACATGGCTATCTTGTGCAGGTATAACCAATTTGCCCTCAGTCTGCACTTAAGCGTTTACGCTGGGTGTTGTCAGGCTGTTATTTTAGATATTGCAAAACCTACTTAACTAAGTGATAGACAACATCCAGGCTGTGGCTATGTATTCAATTCGATTAGTTAGCAGTGCCTCGAAGCATTAACCTGTTTGTTTTAATTATTCTTGGCATCGCTTTGAACTTCTTTCTTCAGTACGAAATCATTTTTCATACACGGTTGTTAAAATAAGATCACTCTTCCATCCTTTGAACCGAGGCTAAAACTGGCAGCTCTGATCTGATGATCAAAGAGATGGCAGCTTTCCTCTAAGGGAAAAGGCAGCGATCCGAATAACAACCAGTTTGCTCATGTTCAGCCTGGTGTTCCTAAGATCAGGCCGATGCGATGCTCTTTTGTGGTTCAGATTTTTCAGAATTTTCTGGAAGTCAGGTGAAAGAGAGAGAGAGAGCTGGAGGTGAAATGAGTGTACTTCATTGAATTTCAAGTAATTCGTTAATTCTAAAAAGTATTTGTTGGTTGCCTTCTGTATTAGACACTGGGGAAGCAGTAGTGGCTAAGCTTTCATAGAGCTTTCTGGTTTGGTCTTACCCTGGTGAGAGGTGAGGTCTTATCCTTATCTTGTTAAAGATCAGTCAATTTTAGGTGACATATTTTCAGTTGTTGTTAATAAAACTCCTTTTTTATACTGGACAACTCATTTATTTTAGAATTTACAATAGGAAGACAGATTAGCGTTTCTCTATATGAGACCAAACCCTTCTTATTTCTCATGAGAGAACAGAGGCTCAGAAAGATTAAGTGATTTTTCTAAAGGTTAACTGTAGTTGTTGGGTGGACTGAGACAAAGTCCATGTTTTCTGACTTCTTTTCTACGTATTCAAAATATGTAAAAGAGAATAATCTCCAACACATCAGTTTTCATGGCCCTGGCTGAATAATGGCAAAGTGGTAGGAGGAAGGAAAGGCAATTAAGTGGACTTTCTTGGAGAGGGGCTTCTAAAAACAAGCTGTAAGCTAGAGAAATTAGTCTGGAACGTGTCGTGTTCTAGTAGATGACAGGCCTGGGGTCCAGCTCAGCCTCGGGAGGTTGTTCTGTAAGTCCAGAGAGAGTTTATAGTCTGAGCTTCTAAATGTGTGCTTGGATATTCTCTAGATCCCAGGAAAATGTCAGGACAGCTCACTCTCACAATGAGGGTAAGGAACCAAGCAGTAGGATGTGAAGGAAGTTCCTCCAGTGCACACTCAGCCGTGGAGATTGCTTTTGTGTCTGAGTGTCTTCATGAAAGCCTTGGAAAGAGTGGCCCTGAGAGGCCAGGGCAGCTGGGATGGCCAGTGTGCATGGCCCTGCAGTGAGTGTCCCACTGGGCACTGTGCTGTCTCTGCTCTGTGTCTGGAGTAGTTGGTGCCCTGGTGTGAAGAGACACACATCCCTGCTGTTCCCTGCATGTGAGCTGCAGAGAGCTCTTTAGAGGCTCCCCTTTCCCCTGCAGCTTTACTACCTGTCTGGATCCAAGTGTAGTTCTCAAAGACTTCTTTTTCATCTGCCTTTGCTGATGCTCCACCGTGTGACCATGAGTTTCTGGTAAAACAGAAGTAATGATACCTTCTCTACCTTCCTCACAGGATACTACTAAGGAAGAGATGAGAGAATGAGGGAAAGGATACAGTTCTGTCTAAGCAGAATCAAAGGATGGGGCAGGATGGGTTAAAAGCGTAGATTTCCCCCAGGTCCCTGGCGACCACCATTCTACTCTCTGCTTCTAGATAATTTGACCAGATAATGTGACTAGGCAATTTGACTAGATAATTAAGTTTTAGAGATCTTCTGTGTAACATTGTGCCTATAATTAACAATACTTTATTGTACACTTAAAAATTTGTTAAGAGGGTAGATATATTAAGTGTTCTTACCACAATTTAAAATAATATGTAGACTTTGGAGCGTGAATGCTTAGGTCCAAATCCCCACTTTGCCACTGATTAGCTGAGTAACCTTGGGGAAATGATATATTCTCTCTGGATTCAGTTTCTCCTCTGTAAAATGAGAAAAATAATAGTACTTGCTTCCTAGGGTTGATGCAAGGAATAATTGAGTTAAATCAAGTAAAGTGTTTAGAAGCATTCCTAGACACAAAGTAAAAGCACTAATTTATTCAAATTATATGCAGACTTTTTCTTATCTAGAAAATACTTATGCATCTGTGTGCATACACACACAAAGATGCACAAAGATGCACGTTTCTGCAACCACCTGTGAACACACACATGTGCCTGCAGTCTTTTCAAACTCTGGAGCATGAACTTAGAACTCTAAATTCTCAGTGCAGTAATATTGCCCCCAAGGGGGCAAAAACTGGTTCTTGAGGGGCAACAAACTCTTACTCTTTTAATGTATAAAGCATACATATACATAAGGACATAAGCAGTATGTGTATACAGATCTATAGTACATCTGTAGTGTTAAAATTTCATAAGGTAGAGATTAGAAAAAAAGTCTACAATGCTACTTTAGAAGGAGATAATGAGAAAAGGATGAGAAACATTGCTCTAAGGTGATGGCGGATGTGCTTTTCTGTTGATGTTTAGGGATCAGCGTGGATTGGAGTGGTTGATGATGGTGGTGTGGTTACCACGTACAATGTCACAGCTGGCCAAGTGATCTTCTTCCCTAAAAATACACTGCACTGGATAAAGAATGTGGGAAATGAAGACTGCTTTTTCTTACTCTTCTTTTCCACACACGATGAACTTCAGACCCTGGATGTTGATGATGTATTTTTTTCTACACCTGAGGACATTGCTTCCAGGTCACTTAAGGTCTGTACCACTGCTGAAAACAAATCCCGCCATGAGGGTATGCGCTACATAGGCACAAAGAGAGCATGTGTGTTTGTGTTTCTAGGGCAGCAGTCAACAGGGTGACAGTTGGGTAATGGACTCAAGAACATTTCTTGTGTTTCTACTAAAGACTTAAAACTTGTTGAAATGGAATTGCTTTTTATTTCCCTTTATGAAGGACTTCTATGGGAAACTGTAATGAATTGGTAGAAAGCTTCTGATATAGTTCATAAAAATTACTATAATTTACATCTCTGAAAAGCCATAAGCTCATCTAGGGAGAAGTTTGCTACAGGTAATGTAATTGTGTTTTCCCAATCTAATGCAGACAGTCCCACAGTTTTCCTGCAGGATAGCTACCTTTGATCTCTCTAAATAGTTATGGTATCGCTGGAGGGACTGCTGATCATTCTGGGTCTCTAGAGTCAGATGTGGATGCTGACAGTGCAAATGGGTGATCAGAAGAATTGGTGATGGCCCACGAGTGGCAACTGGAAGGGGTTCTGTGGCATATTTAGCAATCTATCTAGTATGGTTTTGAGATTTGTCTTGCAGCTGATCCTGGTTTAATGTTATAGAGAGGAGTTTATATTGACCATAAAAGACTAACACATTTAAAATGAAAATGCATTGAAAACGTCAAGGATTTTCATAATTATCACAAGTCTTAGGCTAACCAAGTTCAGCTTTTTTTTTTTTAGGAAGATTAGCCCTGAGCTAACTGCCGCCAATCCTCCTCTTTTTTCTGAGAAAGACTGGCCCTGAGCTAACATCCGTGCCCATCTTCCTCTACTTTATATGTGGGACGCCTACCACAGCATGGCGTGCCACGTGGTGCCATGTCTGCACCCGGGATCCAAACCGGTGAAGCTCGGGACGCTGAAGCGGAATGTGCGCACTTAACCACTGCGCCACGGGGCCGACGCCAGCTTTTTTTGTTTATTGAGGTCATAATAGTTTGTAACATTGTGAAATTTCAGTTGTACATTATTATTTGTCAGTACCATATAAATGTTCCCCTTGACCCCTTGTGCCCACCACCCAATCCTTTTCCCCTTTGGTAACCACTAAACTGTTCTCTTTGTCCATGTGTTAGTTTATCTTCCACATATAAGTGAAATCATACACTGTTTGTCTTTCTCTGTCTGGCTTATTTCGCTTAACATAATACCCTCAAGGTCCATCCATGTTGTTGTGAATGGAATGATTTTGTCTTTTTTTTATGGCTGAGTAGTACTTCATTGTAGATATATACCACATTTTCTTTATCCAGTCATCAGTCGATGGGCACTTGGGTTACTTCCATGTCTTGGCTATAGTGAATAATGCTGCAGTGAACATAGGGGTGCATAAGTCTCTTTGAATTGTTGATTTCAAGTTCTTTGGATAGATACCCAGTAGTGGGATAGCCGAGTCATATGGTATTTCTATTTTTTATCTTTTGAAAAATCTCCATACTGTTTTCCATAGTGGCTGCACCAGTTTGCATTCCCACCAGCAGTGTATGAGGGTTCCCTTTTCTCCACATCCTCTCCAACATTTGCTATTTTTTGTCTTGGTGATTACTGCCATTCCAACAGGTGTAAGGTGATATCTTAGTGTAGTTTTGATTTGCATTTCCCTGATGATTAGCGATGTTGAACATATTTTCATGTGCCTATTGGTTATCTGTATATCTTCTTTGGAAAAATGTCTGTTCATATCCTCTGCTCATTTTTTGATCGGGTTGTTTGTTTTTTTGTTGTTCAGTTGTGTGAGTTCTTTATGTATTTTGGAGATTAACCCCTTATCGGATAAATGATTTGTAAATATCTTCTCCCATTGGTGGGTTGTCTTTTTGTTTTGTTCCTAGTTTCCTTTGCCTTCCAGAAGCTCTTTAGTCTGATGAAGTCCCACTTGTTGATTTTTTCTTTTGTTTCCCACGTCCAAGTAGACATGGTAATCAAAAAGATCCTTCTAAGAAGGTCAGCTCTTTTGACTGGGCCGCTGAAAACCACGCTGGTGCCGATGCTACCCTGTCCTCAGCTACCCACCCTTCTATTGCTAAAATTTGTAGAATGTTTCACAAATATCTTAGATGGTTTCTTATGTCTTTCAGCCTGAAGGTGGAATTAATTTCATTAGAACATTCCATAAGCAAGAAGAGGATCAGGCCGTCAACCTTCCTCCCCACCTGGCAGAACTGGTTATGAATGCTAGTTATGCACAGTCTCCAGACAGCCTTGTGTGGAGATACTTTTATGACCTTAAAGGTGCAGTATGTTATTTTGTGGAGCCTTTTTATTTAAGTATTTATATATGTGATTATGTAGGTATATTGGATTGAGAGAGAATGTGTTTTTTTTTACGGTGAGTCACAGTCAAGAGAAGTTTGAAAAAACACATTTCTCAATAGAGTGGGAAATATGAGAAAAGCCCTGGAAGCAAAAGAGAATGTGGGAAAATATTTGAAAGTATGAGGGGTGTGTGCTGGGGCTGGGGGTGCCGCAGGAGAAGAGCAGAGGTCCAATCATGCAGGTTGTGGAAGCTGTGCTAGTGGGTTTCCACTTTAGCTTGATGGAAAAGGGAAGAAGTTAAGATGTCTTATATAGGAGAGTGACACAATTAGGTTTTTAGTTTATTATTTATTTTTTTGTTTGAGGTATAATTGATGTATTAGTTTCAAGTATACAATATAATGATTCAATATTTGTATATATTGCAAAGTGATCATCACAAGTCTAGTTAACATCTTCACCATACACAGTTACACAATTTTTTTTTCTTGTGATGAAAACTGGTAAAATCTGCTCTCTTAGCAACTTTGAAATATGCATACAGTATTATTAACTATAGTCACCATGCTGTACATTACATCCCCATGTCTTATTTATTTTATAACTAGAAGTTTGTACCTTTTGATCCCCTTCACCCATTTTACCCACCCCCTGCCTCTGGGGGAACCAATCTGTTCTCTGTATCTATGAGCTTGGTGTGTCTTTTTTTTGATGCTGTATGTAACTGAGGTCACATGGTATTTGTCTTTCTGTGTCTGACTTATTTCACTTAGCATAATGCCCTCAATGTCCATCCATGTTGTAACAAATGGCAAGATTTCATTCTTTTTTATGGCCAAATAATATTCCATTATATGTATATATACCAACATTTTCTTTATCCATTCTCCCACCAATGGACACTTAGGTTGTTTCCATATCTTGGCTATTGTAAATAATGCTGCAATGAATGTGGGGTTGCAGATATCTTTCCAAGTTAGTGTTAGCTTTGTTTTTTGAAGTGATGACCCAATCCATCTGAATCGTGGAGAATAGACTGAAAGAGGCCAGATGAGAGGCAGGAAGATGAGTTGGGGGCTCTTACAGTCCCTCAAGTAGGGGATGATGGTGGCCTGCACTATGACAGTTGTGAAGGGAAAGGATTGTTCAAAGGGAAGAGAATTTAAAGAGGTAGGACCGACAGGACTTAGTTGCCTGACTTAAGGGATGAGATTGGTTTTTAGGATGAGTCTCAAGTTTTCTAGCCAGATCCCCTGAGTTGAACAGTCTGTCTCAAAGAGGTCGCTCTCTATTAGAAATTTCAGGAGATCTTGGAAGGTAGGATAGTATCTGACACTATCAGGTCAATATCTGGGGGCACCTAGGATCTGGTGTTAGCAATTCCCACCATGGAAACTTTCTGTGACTATAGAAGAGCTACGTACTTTACTGGGACTACATTTGGCTCTCTTTTTGTGGTACCATTTTGAAGTATTTTTATCTTATTTTGTTTTTTAAACTTTCATCTGACTCAGGTTCAAAAGAATATCGATTTCCAGGAGGAATAATACAACGAGCGCAATATTGGAGAAATGGAAGTGAACTAAGCAACAATGAAAAAATTTTTAGTGAATTCCTGAATCAGGTAATTGAGAAAAATGTTTTGATGATCATTAAGATGCATGAAATATGAAATTTAGATTGGATTCAGTCTTCTTTTGAACAAAAGGAAAAGGAAAGATCTAATCAAGCACAGTTTATTTGATCAATGTAAACTTAATTGAAGTTTCAGTGTGGATTTGGGAATTTAACTTGTTGGCATGGATAGTAACATGAGAGAAAAGACTGAATGCTTGTGAGATTTCTCTTTTCATTTGTTTTAAATGCTTAAATGACTATATTGCATCATGAGTAAGAGCACAGCTTTGGCGTCAAATTGCCAGATTCAAATCCCAGTTCTGCCTCTTAGTTGTGTGACTGTAGGTAAATCAACCAACGTAGATTTTAATTTTATCACCTTTAAAATAAGGAGGATAATACTACCAACCTTATAAGATTGTTATAAGGAATAAGTGATATAATAAGTGTAAAAGACATAAAAAAATTGCATGTTTTTAGTGAGGGTTGCATAAGTATTAGTTATTATGATTATATGAATTGTTAAGTTGCTGAGTAGGATGTTGGCTAAATAACTGGATTTCATTTTTCTTTTTCTTTTTCAAGCATCAAAATGCACTCGCTTTGAGTACACTCAGAATTTATAACAACGGATTACGACAGCCACACTTTCATTTTAATGCAAATGAAATGGGATATGTAATAAGTGGATGTGCAAAGGTAATTTCTTTGTGAACAGTTTTTTGACCTTTCCTTTTTAGTACAGAAAGAAGCAAATGGGAAGTATTTCTGTGTTTTGGTCAGTTGTTAGTAATGTAAAAGGACTCGATACTCAGGGCTTTCTGGGCACAGTTTCCACAGAGGGTACCACGCAGGCCCTGCTAGATTGCTTCCAAGTGTGATCTGAGTGTGAGAAGAGGCTAAGAACATTTCAGAAGTGATAAAGAAGTTATCGTTTGTGGTGGAGGGTCTGGAACACCTGCTTAGGTTTTCAGTTTTGCCTTTCCAGTAATGCAAGGGTTGAATGTGCTGCCCTCGGGGAACAGGAAATCACTGTTTGCCTCTCAGTGTACTGTGAGTGGAGGTGGCTGGGGAGGTGTGGAGCATCAGGAGGGGGCCCATATATCCCCATGTATCCAGGATCCTCCTGATGTATACTTGTCGTGTTGGTGAAATTATTAACAGCGCCCTCTTTGCTCTTCAGGGAGTCCTGGTTTGGTTGATCGATGATGTGGTAACCAAAAGAAAAGCCAAACTGAGTACCATGTTACTGCAGTGATTTGACCATAGTTCTTTTGGACTTTCTAGGGCTCTCTGGGGAAATCTACAATGGTATAATGGTAAAATGGGCTTCTCTACCTTGTAGCCGTCTCAATCTTGACAGAAGGAACCAAACCAGACTGAAATTCACTTCTTATGTCATCCATAGCAAAAGTTTTGTTTTATGTTTTTAGAGGTGAAGGCTTCAATAAATTGGAAAAGGGCATTGTAATCTTCCACAAATTATATTTCAAGGATCAGGTTTTATTTTCGGTGTGCTCGTGTGCTTGCATCTGCGTACACATTTAGTCTCTAACCCTTTTAAGGAAGATTGTTAGGATGCTGCTCTCCCAGAAGGCTGAATTTCCCCAAGCAAATAAAAAGGAGGGCATGGGGGTTGTAAAACACTAAAATTTAAATCCTCTGCCTAATTAGGGAGTGTAATTTATAAGCTTTAGTTAGAAAATGGTGACTGATGCTCTGTTTGCGTCATGTTCTGCAGTATTAGACTCACTAATGCGTTTCGAGGAACATTCACTTAAAGAGAGTATCTGTTGGTTTGTGTGGGGCTGTGTCTCAGACTCAGGAGATTTTGTGGGAAGGACGGCCTCTGTCTTCTGCTGTTTACCCGCAGAAGTCCCTGTATAACCACGTGCTTTTATTCATCTGTTCTTCACTATTACTACTTATCCTTGATGAATATTTGATTTTATTTGCTTAACTTCAAAATACTTTTTTTCCCTCCTTAGGTGGGCATTATTAATACTCAGGGTACCATAGAGTTTGACATTCACATTGGAGATGTGGTATTTTTCCCCACTGGAACCCAGCATTACATTAAGAGCACATGTGATGAGGATTTACTTTTCATTCTTGCCTTCAGCACTGGAGACCAGGTGAGAATAAGCCAGCTTAAGAGAGATGCTGAGTGCCAATGATGTGCAGAATACTCTGCTATGCAATGTGTCTGGACGTCGGGGGGCCTCAGTAAATGTGTGCTGAGTGAATGAATAAATGAATGAACTGGCTGAACCAGTGTGTGAAAAGAAGGAGAATCACATAATCTTTTCATTTGGTTATAAAGGGATCGAATATGTTACATTTCTTCTTAATTCCCCCAGTTCTGAACCAACTGAGAAAAAAGACCAAGAATAGTATATAGAGATCCATGAAATCATTTTCATTACTAATAAAGCAGATATTAGAGAATGTGATTAGTATCTGTGGGCAGGTGGGTTTCTGATCCCCAGAATTGGGTAGGACTCCCTGTGTTGAGGCAGGCCCTTGTACACTTAATGGCATAAAGAAATAGAGCATGCACTTTGAAGACTTGCCATTTCCTAAACAGAGAGTGAGGAAAGTGAAGTGAGCATGCCTAGTTTGTTCTTCAGAATTCACTCTGGGGGCCTAGGAGTGGGGTAGGAGAAATGGAATCTCTTCTATATGGAAAGAAACTTTAGGAGTAGAGAAGTAGAATTCCTTTCTTTCACTCAGCCAGGGTTCCTTAATTCGGAGCAATAATGGGATTGAGGAATAGAGATACACAGTGGAATTTAGATTTTTAAAAATCCTTAGGACTAGGTTCCCTTCTGCGACTGTGTGAGAATTATATTCTAACAGTCTGACTGGGAACCCTGGAGCAAGTCAAGGAACAGACAGACATTTCTCGTGCCTGTGGTTCTACCTTCAAGGAGACCCAACAAGATCTCCAGGGGAGAGCACAGCATGAATTCGGCAGTATCAGCAACAGGACCTATGCCCAGAGGTGGGTTCAGTCCTGCTCGGTGATGCTCATTTCCCAAGATAACACCTACTTTCTTTGCGAGAGAGTGGAAAATTCCAGCATCTGCTTCCCTGGTTCTCCAAATCTTTCTGGGGGTACCTGGGATGAGGTTTGTGGAGAGCTTTGTGAGAAAGAGGTGGAGTCGAAAGCTAGCTGTAGACTTAGTTGGGGGTGGGGGAAGAAAGATTCCAGGGTTCCCCACTTTTGGGTCTCAAAAATAGGTGGATCTCATTGCTACTGCCACCCCCTTGGTCATGATTCTCTATAGCTCTTATAAAAACAAGTCAGAAAACAAAATCAAATCAAATATAAATAGGAAAAGAAGGAAAAAAACCTCATATTATAAATAGAAAGTTAGAGTTTAAAAAGTTAAGAATAAGAAAAGAACTTTAAAAGTGAGTAGAGTAAAAATGTTACTTAAGTGTAAAAATAGTCCAAAGGTAAAAAGTTAAGAATTAAAATAAATATGGGAGATAAAATAAATAAGATATAATGTGACATGAAAGGCTAATACCAACAAAATTAAAAAATTTGAAAGGATAAAAATGACAATTGAAAACCACATTAAATATAAGCCCAAAATTAAAGAATATAAATCTTTAAAAAAGAGAATAGAAATAGAGAGTTTTTTAATGAAAAGAAACAATTTAAGGGAGTGATTCATAATAGGAAAGAAAGAAATGAGTCAGAATTTGGGTAGGAGGAATTTTTTGACCTCTTCCCCCACCTTCTGGAATATCTGATCTGCACCTTGAGGAAGGATAGTCCCCTGCTACCCCATCCTAGTGGGTAATGGAAATGTTTCTGGTGGCGATGTGTTTTGCATAAGGAGTATGAAGGGAAAGAGGAGGGAGGGAGAAGGGAGAGAGAGGTGGGGGGTTGGGGGAGGTTACCCAGAGAGAAACAGAAAATGAGAGACAGAGACACAGAGAGAGACATACATGCCCAGAGACACACAGAGATAGGTACAAAGAGAGACACTCAGAGAGAAAAAGACATGCACAGAAATAGAGACAGAGAGCGAGAGAGAGAGATCTACAGAGTATACAAACAGAGAGAGAGAAACAACACAGAGACACACAAACAGAAGGAGACAGGCAGATGTACACACAAAGTGTATGGGACAGAGACCCACAGAGAGACAGACACACAGAAGGAGAGACACACAGACACATACATACCCACCCCTGGACAGACCTATACACAGAGGGGCACGGAAAGACAGACACATACACGTACACACACACGGAGACAGACGGACATAGAGACAAACACATACAGACAAGAAAGAGAGATTCGGAGACGGATAAGCACAGAGACACAGACATAGACACTGATAGACACAAAGAAACAGTGAGAGAGACACAGAGACACACACACACAGGTGTACACATGCAAAAATTAAGAGAGGCTGACTGAGAAAGAGAGGTAGTGTCAGAGAGAGAAGGAGAGAGAGACAGAGGGAGAGAAAGACAGTGATAGAGAAAGGGGACAAGGACAAACAGTGAGTCAGACCCAGCTGACTAGACAACCAGGCCAGACAGGCAGAGATTATCGAACCAGCGGAGAGAGGCCAGTCTCTGGCTGTGGAGCACAAGGACCACTAACTTGGCAGCAATGTTTGGCCCACCCTGTGCCTCTGGGCATGGCACTCTCAGAAGCCCTTCTGTCACTAGTCCCCGCTCACAGGAAGAGAGAGGGTTCTGCTCCCTCCTCAAAAAGAACTACCTCCTGGTATGATAGAGGTCCCTTTTGAGGAAAACTTCGGATGCCTCAGCACCTCTGGTTATCAATCAGATTTGCCTTATTTTCAGAGTTGGAAAAGTGAGGTCCCCACAGCAAGGGAAGACTGGCACACAACATGACATTTGCAGGAATTCATTTCTGTGTAAAGTTGCACAGCCAAGTGCCCCGCAGTCTTTCAGGTGCCTTGATGGCTATAAGATCTTTGCAGGAACTGGGTGGTTTGGTGCTGATACATCTTCTTTTGGTTTCCACTGTCAGTTGCAAACCCTTGACATGGATGATTATCTGCAAGCCACGGCAGACCATATCCTGGCCCAGCTTTTCTTCAAGAAGCAAAGTGAATTTAAGAAGATCCCCAAATTCAAGGAGGACCAGGCAATCAACCTGCCTTAGATTCGTTGATGAGTTCATGTCTATTCTTCCTTCTTCATTTGTTACTGGTTTTGAAGGAGGATCACTTGGCTAATGAGCCTGGAGCTCTCCCCAGAGTGGAAGTGAGAAAGCAGGTGCAAAGCAGCTCCATGGGCTTATTTAGCTGATAGTAATTATGGGCAGTTCATGCTAAGGGAACATTTCAGTTTATAGTCATGCATCGCTCGACAATGGAGATACGTTCTGAGAAATGTCTTTAGGAGATTTCATCATTGTGTGAACATCATAGAGTGTACTTACACGAACCTAGATGGTATAGCCTGCTACACACCTAGGCTATATGGTACTAATATTATGGAATCACTGTCATATATGTGGTCCATCGTTGACCAAAATGTCATTATGCGGCGCATGACTGTATTCTGTGTAGATTAGTAGATTTATGGAGGAAACTCAATGACTTAATATATTTGTATGGATTTTAGTATATGTGTATATATTTGTTTATTTTCCTTTTCTTACTTCAAATTTATTATTTCAAATGAAAATCCATTCTTCTTATGTGCATCAGTAAAACTTAGCACCATGCATGTACTTTTGTTATTCATCGCTGTGAGAGGAAGTGAGGTGGTCAGCCTCTGAATGTACATATTGAGGCACTGGAACCCCGTTACATCAAACCTTGTCTGGAGAGTTTAGTTTGGAACCCTAGCCTGGCAATTCCCAACCCTTTCATTGGCATGGAGATAATTTTTATAGTGCCAAAATTTTCAAGGACTTACTTTTACGAGTAGTTTTATACTTATTGCGTATTAGCTGAGAATATACTTAATGATATAGTAACTATGAATTCAATACCGTCTTTGAATGTATTTGGATTTCATTAATCACATCAATTATTTACACTTGAGGAATAGTCATCCCTATATTTGAGAAATGTATGGTTTATTTAGTCTATTGGCAAGGCTCGTTGTGTATGTGAATTCGAGGACAGCGTATCATTGCTTGGAAGCTAATCAGGGACTCGTGGTGCCCAAATTGGGAGTCACTGTCTTAAAAGAAAGAATTTTGTATTTATTTAAGTAGAAAAGAATTTGTTCACATTGAATCTGTGCCTGATTTTTGTTTGCAGTTTATTTTAACAGATGTTTGGTACACCTGCCTTATGCTTGAGTACCAGCATCAGTTCGGGGGTATCCTGTATAAAATTCTAAAGTCAGTATGGCTGGGTTTTAATACTTTCATCCACCACACCATCCCTTTTCAATTATTCCCCTGACACCTAATGGGATTTTTAGATGTCTTAGGATGTTTGTTCTTAGGCTACAAAGAATCTGTATGTTCTCTCTCTCACTTGCTCTCTGTCTGTCTGGATAGCTAGCCCTGTTGAATACAAGTGCAGAATACAGTGAGAATCAGTAATGGCGCACTTTTAGCATGGGGAAGTACCCACTCACATAATGTACATCGTCAGATTATAAAAGGCCTGTTATCCCTTGGAACCAACTTACTGTGTATTTCCTTATTGCCCTTTTCTGGGAGAGCCAGCCAGGATCAGAGCTTGGTAGCCATGGAGTGTTGTGGTGGCGGTGGCGTTTCGAAGAGATTTTATAGGGAATCTATAAACCAGGGGATGGTGTTCCAGAGGAGCATGGTTAAGAAGATGCAGGGAACAGCACAGGACGATGGGTATATGGAAGAAGGATGTCCAGATAAGGGAAGATAGTCGTAAAAGGTAAATGGCAATGAGTATAGACAGATTTTGTTTTAATTTTGGAATTTTTTGTATAATATAGACCAGTTCATAATCCATTTTCTTGTATCAGGAAGTATTGTATCAGATTACTATGTGATCATTTAATGAAGATTTTGTGAATTTTTGTATATTACTTTGTCATTGTAATTTTAGATGAACTCTCTTCTTATGGTTTTGTATATTTGAAGTGTTATTGGATTCCCTTGGGTATCCTTGAAATACATCATCACCTAAAGAAAATATGTTATGATACTGGAACTTTCTGGGTTCCTTGATAATAATATACTTGAAGCCTGACTTAGGTTTTCAATCTACTATGTATTTAAAGAATAAAAATCTTAAAAATAAAAATAAACTCATGCAGATGATTCAGTTGGAATATTGTTGGTATGTTACTTTATGGGGGGATATGTTCTTAATTTTCACTTGATTGTTCTAATTTCTATCCTTTTTCCCTCCTTGGGATGCTGATTTTTAGTTTTAAGACCATTTTATTCTTTAGGGTAACTTTATCCATTAGCACTCAAGTACTTTTAGGCTTTTTGGTGTAGCTACTTTATTCATTACCAAATCAATAGATTGAAGAGTGAATTGCTCAATCAGACTGATTATTTGGCATCATTCAGGCAAAAGCCAGACATTTGATTGAAAACCTCCTTTAAAGCTGAATTCACTGTAACCATTTTATACACTCAGTCTATAATGCAGCCACATTTAATTCATTTGAAATAGTATGAATTGTACATAAAATGTTCTTAAGTGTCAAGAAAAATCTTTGAAAAGAATGTTCTCTTTAACAGCAGTTTTGAAGAACTGAATGGAATGAATTACTCTGAATAGAGGAGCTGCAGGTTAGGTAAACACCACTAAATGTTCCTTATTTCTTCTGAACAGTGGAAGGTGGTTATAGCTCGTTCCTTTGTTCATACGCTAATCCTTTCCTATTGAAGAGTAATCAGGCTGCTTTTCATCACCCAAATCATTTAGGAAAAGGAAAACAGTTACTGTTACTATATAACTTGATTCCCAAAGACTGTAATTTCTCAACAGTTGAAAATGATTCAACAGTATAATATTATTGCTTTAAAAAACTAAAAAAAGAAAGCAAAAAAAAAAAAGCCACGGCAATTTTGTTCTATAATTAGAAGTTACAAGTGGTGTCTCCTTCACACTCTGCACTCACCATAGCTCTATGAAACTGGTGTGTTCACTTTGGATCACTGTTCCCTTGAAAACAATAGGAAGATACTGGCGAGCCCAGAAAAGAATAGTGATGGCTGACAAGATGGGAAGATGTTTTCTTCATTGTACTTAAGTTGGAATTGTTTGGAAAAAAGAGGTTAAGGGATGACTTAGAATCATGAAATTATAGAGCTGATAAAGACCACAAACCATTTGGTCTTGTAGCAGAGGAAGAACTATTCCTCCACCCTCTAGATCCTTCCAGCTGGTCTAAGAATTAAACTGGCATGAGATGGAATAACAGGAGAAAATCAAAGTTTAAGAACATGTATGTGTGAGAGAAACTCAGGAAATCTGAGTAACTCACCAAAATGGTGGAGGCTGCCACCTTAAATATCATCTTCAGCTAAAGACAAAGGTTGATGTTGGGGTTAGTGGTTTGGGACCTCAAAGGGGAGGAAGGCAATTTACATGGAGGAGGAAAAGCAAATGTTTGGTAAACAAGTGTTGACCATGCCTTGCAAAGACAATGAGAGAAGGAGAGACCTTTGCTTAAAAAGCCCTTGTTAGTTTCCTCCCTGTCTATCACATCCAGTTTATATTATACTATAGTTATTTTATGGTATTAACTCCTTCCTGGAACAGGCCTTCTATCTTAAGTTCTTTTAGGCAGTCAGGGGGAAGGTCAAAGTTTCTTTCAGAGTCTTTTGTTCTTAAAAATAATCAAGCCAAAGAGACACATTTTAGAGTGGCAAATTCTGATCCCCCCCAGTCTCATCACTTTAATTTACAGAAATGGAAACTGAGACCTGAGAAGGGTACTCTGCCCAGAATGCAAGTAAGATATTCAAGACCAAAGTCTAGCACTTTTGGGATGCCCCCTGTCATTAGCGTGTTTTTGATTACTGTCTTCAAGTGTTTGAAGGATTTTTCCACATGAAGTAGATGTCTCTACTAGAAAATGCACCATCTTCAAGTGGGAGGGGTGGCTTCTATTACCTGCAAACATAGCACCCCTGTGCCAGCACTGCTTCTCCTTTGCTGTGCCTCCCACACTCCAGATGCCCAGGTCTCTGCTGCTTCTGCCAAGAGGTGATCAGAGACTCCTGAGATCACCCAGGTCACAGTTCCTATCTCGCCAAGTACTCCTTGCTTGTGCTTTATTTTCATTAAAATTTTTTCTACTGTGATAAAATAAACACAACATAAAATTTACCATTTTAATCATTTTTAAGTGCACAGTTCATTGGCATTAAGTACCTTCACATTGTTGTGCAATCATCACCATCATCCATTTCCAGATCATTTTCCATCATCCCAAGCAGAAACTCTGTGCCCATTTAACAGGAACTCCTCATTCCCCTCTCCCCACAGCTCCCGGTGACCTCTATGCTACTTTCCGCCTCCATGATTATGTCTGTTCTAGGTGCCTCATATAAGTGGAATCATACAGTATTACTCAATGCTTATTTTTATGAGGTCTCTGCTCATTTTTAAAAATTGTGCCTTTACTATGTGCTCAGCATTGTGCTAGGATATACAAGAAACATAAGATGTGGAGAATTTGTAATTTAAATGTTTCTCATTCAGTTCTGTGTTTCTCTTCCCTCCTCATTCCTTCCCTGGATGAACTCAGCTCTTATTATGAGTGTTCAAAAAAATGTTTATTCATTCAGATAATGTTAGGGAGTCCATAGTAACAGATATTAAAAATCTAAAGAAGGGCCGGCCTGGTGACATAGTGGTTAAGTTCACATGCTGCAGCTTCAATGGTCCAGGGTTCGCCGCCTCAGATCCCGGGTGCGGACATGGCACCACTTGTCAAACCATGCTGTGGCAGGCGTCCCATATATAAAGTAGAGGAAGGTGAGCACAGATGTTAGCTCAGGGCTAATCTTCCTCAAAAAAGAAAAAAAAAGTATAAAAAGAAATGCAAAGAAGTGAGTCTACATATGCCCTCATGTTTCCAGAGAAGGCAACACACAACTCTTTTGGTGACTCCCATTCCAGTGTCTTAACAGTCCTTGGTCCTCAAGTTTTTCATGACTCTCATAAAATGTCTTTTCCAGTACTTTTTTGGGAGTGGGGCTTCATTCTAGTCCCTGAACATCCAGATAAGAGTGTTTGGATTCTGTTTTTTTGAATATTAACAAGAAACCTCAAATGGCCTCCACAGATGTCTTTCATGTCTTATCTTGGTTCAGTAATGCCCAACTTCATCCTGATGATAATAAATTTATCATTTTGTTATTTTAGCCTGACATATTCAGATTCTTCTTTGGTTCAGTGTGAAGTAGCTAATGCTGAAAGGCAGTGAGCTGTCAAGTGTGGGCTAAATGGGATGTGGTACCATGCCAGCTATAACGAGGGGCATCCTGGTCTCAGGGAATCTCAGACAAGGCACTACCACACATCCAAAAAGCCCACTTGAAATGTCAGATCGACGAAAAGATTTTTCTTAAAGTTTGGCACCTGAGCAAACATCTGTTGCCAATGGTCTTTTTATTTTTTCTTCTTCTTCTCCCCAAAGCACCCCAGTACGTAGCTGTATATTCTAGTTATAGGTCCTTCTGGCCCTGCTATGGGGACCCCGCCTCAGCACGGCTTGATGTGCTGTGCTAGGTCCACACCCAGGATCCGAACCAGTGAAACCCCGGGCTGCTGAAGCAGAGCATGCGAACTTAACCACTTGGCCCAGGGTTGGCCCCCCATGAAAAGATATTAAAACTTTATTTATTTATTTAAAGTCTTCAAGTCTTTCTGAGGTATGAAAAAATGAAAAATTCTTACATTTTTAACCAAGAAACGACAACAGAAAAGTCAGTCAAGCAAAGTCTGTTCCATCTCTCACTTGCTGCATACAATTTCCCATAGAAAAAAATCCCAGGATAGCCTAGTGCTGCTTAAGCATGTCCACAACACAATTCATGTATCTTCTCAAAGTTTGTATATAACGTAAGGTTCCATCAACTTTAAATTTTCCTTTTTTCTGGGTTAGCAAGGTTATCTCAATTCTTTCTAGTTCCAGAAATCTACCTTTCTTTTTTTTTTATTGAGGTGATAATGGCTTATAACATTATATAAATTTCAGGTGTACATCATTGTATTTCGACTTCTGTATAGACTACCTTATGTTCACCACCAAAAGTCTAGTTTCTGCCCATCACCATACAAATGTCCCCCTTTACCCCTGTTGCCCTCCCCCAACCCCCTTTTCCCCACCAGTCTGCTCTCTGTATCTCTGTGTTTGTTTGTTGTTTTTTACTCTTCTCCATGACTGAGATCGTATGGTATTTGTCTTTCTCTGCCTGACTTATTTCACTTAGCATAATACCCTCAAGGTCCATCCATGTGTCTCAAATGGCAAGATTTCATATTTTTTATGGCTGAGTAATATTCTGTTGCATATATATATATATACACACACACACTGTATTTTCTTTATCCATTCATCTGTCCATGGGCATCTCAGTTGTCCAAGTCTTGACTATTGTGAATAATGCTGCAGTGAACATAGGGGTGCATATATCTTTTCAAATTAGTGTTTTTGTGTTCTTTGGATAAATGCCCAGAAGTGGAATAGCTGGATTATATGGTAGTTCTATTTTTAATTTTTTGAGGACTCTCCATACTGTTTTCCATAGTGGCTGCACCAATTTACATTCCTACCAGCAGTGTATGAGAGTTCCCTTTACTCTGCATCCTCTCCAACACTTGATTTTTTTGTCTTTTTGATAACAGCCTTTCTGATGGGCATGAAGTGATATCTCATTGTGGTTTTGATTTGCATTTCCCTAATAATTATTGATGTTGGCCATCTTTATATCTTCTTTGGAAAAATGTCTGTTCAGATCCTCTGCCCATTTTTTAATTGTTTGTTTTTTTGTTGTTGTGTTGTACGAGTTCTTTATATATTTTAGATATTAACCCCCTTATCAGGTATATGATTTGCAAATATCTTCTCCCAACTGGTAGGTTGTCTTTTTGTTTTGTTTGATGGTTTCCTTTGTCAAGCAGAAGACTTTTATTTTGATGTAGTCCCATTTGTTTATTTTTTCTTTTGTTTCACTTGGCTTGAGGAGACATTTCCAAAAAGTTATTGCTAAGACTGATGTCGAAGAGTGCCCTGCCTATGTTTTCTTCTAGAAGTTTCATGGTTTCAGCTCCTACATTCAAGTCTTTAATCCATTT